ACATAAAATAGTCCCAAGGCAGGTCTAAATCAAGACCAAAAACCCACTTAGATGGCATCTAAATGGCCTACACATGATGGCATACACAATGGTCCAAACATGGAGCATAAAAAAAACAACTCTTTAAGGCATTAAAGGAGCATCAAATGTAAGTAAACAAACTTGCCATATGGACTGAAATGACATGGTAAATGACTCCAAATCACTGAAATGAGCCAAGTGATGCATGCTAGGGGGTTCAAAACTCAAAGGCTACAAGCTAGACTGCATTGTAGCTATACAAAACAAGTCATGGATGACCAAGACAACCAAAATCAGGCATCAAGTATAGCAAAACATGGATAAAAACTTCTTGAAGCTAAGCCAAAATCATGCTAGAAAGGCAGGTCTAAATCAAGACCAAAAACCCACTTAGATGGCATCTAAATGGCCTACACATGATGGCATACACAATGGTCCAAACATGGAGCATAAAAAAAACAACTCTTTAAGGCATTAAAGGAGCATCAAATGTAAGTAAACAAACATGCCATATGGACTGAAATGACATGGTAAGTGACTCCAAATCACTGAAATGAGCCAAGTGATGCATGCTAGGGGGTTCAAAACTCAAAGGCTACAAGCCAGACTGCATTGTAGCTATACAAAACAAGTCATGGATGACCAAGACAACCAAAATCAGACATCAAGTATAACAAAACATGGATAAAAACTTCTTGAAGCTAAGCCAAAATCATGCTAGAAAGACTTGTTACAACATGATGCATGTTAGGCCATAACATGGGATTACAAGACAAGTGTATGGAGCATACATGGCATGTCTAAACCAACTTAAAACAGTGCTATATCATGGCAAAATAACACCTAATACATACTGAAATGGAGCTAAAACAAGCTAGGCAAACATGTTACAACACAAGCCATTTATGCAAGCATCAAAGACAACATGGAGAGGGGATGGCCCTCTACCATTTGGGACCTCAAAACCACATCTCCTCCACTGAAAATCCTTTGGATTTCAGTGGTAGAGAGGTCATGCAAAGACCAAAACAATGGCCAAAATGGATGGCCTAAAACAATGCCTAACAAGGCCTTGGAGTGGGCGAGACAACCCCAAACCTCAAAGTGACCATAAACAAAGTTCTAAAACACACAAAAGCAGAACTTTTATTAGTTTATAGCTAAGCCTAAAACAATAAGCAAGATGGGTCAAATGCTTGTACAAAAATGGGGAATAAAAGGGTAAGTTTCTTACACTTGAAGAACCACTTCAAGAACACCACCCCAGCAAATTTTTGAGTTCAAATCAAACCAAGAACCCCAAAATCTGCCTCAAAGGACCTCAGTTCCAAGGTATAGTGTAACACTAGGTGTCTTAGTGCAAAACTAAGAACAAAAACACCTTTTGAGCACAAGATACACACACAAATCAAAAGGGAGGGAGATATAGAGATAGATAGATATAAAACTTCTAACCCTAATCCTCTGAACCTGAAAGAGGGAAGAGGGACTCCCTCTTTATAGAGGTTCAAATCCTCAAGCTTCCAAGAGAAGCTAAACAAGAGGCAAATCCCTCCATACACGTGTATGGAGGGGGTGAAAAGTGGATGCCACAGCTGGCATAAAATATCTGCCAAAAGCAAATGGAAAGGGGTCGGCTGGAAAATATGGCCAATTGACCAACAAAAATGGCCGGCCGAACAAAAACATTGCCGACCGACGAAAAGATTTGGCTGGTAGCAAGAAAACAAGGTCGGTGGCCTGAAGCCAAGGCCGGTGAGGTGTGGGGATAGCCAGCAAGCCATTCCCTGCCCTCAGAAGCAAAAACACAAGTGTTTGGTACACAACCAAGCACAAAATAAACAAGTCTAGAGGTCTTGAGGCAAGGCGCGCGACCGAAACCTCCGAGAACTCAAGACGAACAAGAACATGGATGATCATCGAGTGTTCAAACGATGACGTCCAAGTCTTGGGGATGGTCAAAAATGGGGTGTCTACAGTTGCCCCTCTTTGACAGAACTCGAAACACAACTCGTTATCTTGAGGCAACACATCAAGAACCAAAGGAAGGATTCTCTGAGTTTGTGACAAGATAGAGGGCTAGAGTGTCCATGATGACCACTCGACCTTCAGAAAAGGATCCGGTCAAAATGGTTGTCCAAAATCTATATGGCAAGCTATTGCAGAAAATGATTGTTCTCCCTTTATTTACCTTCAAAGAGCTTCATGAAATGGGGGTTCAAATCGAGGATGCAATGAAACAGGGAATTATTACTGATGATAAGGAGTTGACTAAGAGGCCGTTTGTTTGCAGTTCCAATTCTACCAGTGGTAGCACAGCTACGAGGCCATCAGACTTAAGTGTTGTCACCACAACAAAAACTGCCGACCCCTCCACCCACTTAGGCCCACAAACACCATCCAACCCTACCCGACCTCCAGGTAGAATATTTCACCCACTATACATGACCCTATCCAAAGACATGCAAGTTCTTAAGAAAGGGCACCTGAAACCCTTAGAACCTTGCCTACTTCCTGACCCTCTTCCATCCAAGAAACATGACCCCACAAAATACTATGCCTTCCACCAGTAGCACGGTCATGAAACCGACCGATGCTACCACTTACGTCATGAGATTTAGGATCTCATTGACAACAAGGTCATCGCTCTACCCTAGAAGCCAAATGTAACCACCAACTCGCTCATTGCGCATAACCAAGTCCCCTCACCTCGAAAGCTTCACCTTATCCATACACTGTGCAACATCTATGACCTAGTGTCTATATTACTCCCTTCCACTTACCGAAACCGATGTTGTTCTTTCCTGAGGGCATGGACTTGTGCACAATGGAGACATTTAACCAACGACCTGAGCTTCCTAGATCAGTGGTGACAACACCCGCAATAGACAAGATGTTGACCTTGGAGGGAGGTACTGGTCTGTTATCAGAACGTCCTGGAAGCTCATCGTAAAAAGAGTACAACCCAAGCCATTATATTATTCATACCACTCAACTCAAGCCTAAGGTGGTGCTACAAACCTCGGCAGATATCAATGTGGTTAGAGAGGATGGCTCAAACCAAGGGTTGGATGACCTTACAGATCTTGAAAATGATCGAGATAGCCTACAATTTTTCAATCAGCATGATTAAGGAGATGTATAGATCTGGTGGTTCGACCTGAACAGATTGATTGATAATACCGGATGGCTGAGTGTTTTCTCGGATGGGAAGAAGAGACTAGGATTAAGCTAGAGAGAAAGGAAGCAGAGGTAGCTGCAATGGCCGGGAAAGATGATGAGAAAGAAAAACTACCAGAGGGCACATGTGTGCGAAAATCGATCTAGGAAGTGGGTCTGGTGAAGACTACAGATACTAAACAGGAAGTTGTGCTGCGGCAGTTTGAGGGAGAAAGAGTTGAAAATAGCTAGAAAACCGCAACGGCGTGTCGCCCTGAAAGGGACACTTGTACTATAAAGTTGATTCAGGTAGAGTCGGACAACTGTTTGTTGTTGACTGATGGTGAGTGATGGACGACAATGATTTGCATCTAGCCCATATTGACGAAAACTGGGGAGGCTGCATCCCAGATGATACATGTTATGATGAGGAGATAGATCATCTCACTAGAAGTGGACGGTTGTTTAAGCCACCATTCCTGAATCAAGCAGAGCCATCAGGAAAGGATCGGGAGGTCGAGAAAGAAAAGGAGAAGCAACTAGAAGATAAGCTAGTTATGAAGTAGCTCAAAAGGATCCAAGCTGATATCTCTATCTACGAGTCCTCGCGGCTTCAAGGTACTTCAATAGGCAGTATTATCGGCAATGGACAAAGCTAAATTGTCCATTGATACAACGCCTGAACAACTTGTGGGCCTAGTCTTTCCAAGTGGAGCCAAACCAATGCTCACATTCTTTGACAAAGAGCTGCTGCTGGAAGGATCGGCTCACAACAAGCCCTTATACATATCCATGGAGTGTAGAGAGAAATGGGTGCCCATAGTGTTAGTAGACACTAGTTCTGCTATTAATGTTTGTCCATCTTGCACTGCCAACGCAATAGGCCTCAAACTAACAAACTTCATCCTTACAGCCTAAGTGATATGGGCGTATGACAATACAAGCAAAGAAGTCATGAGGACAATGAAAGTGCGAGCCCAGGTGGGCCCATCTATGCAAGAGATTGAGTTCCACCTACTGGATGTGCTAGCTACCTTTAACCTGCTATTAGGGAGGCCTTGGTTACATCACGTGAAGGTTGTGTCCTCCACCCTCCATCAAATGTTAAAGTATCCTCATGAGGGCAGAGTAGCAATAGTTTTTGGGAACTCATCCATACACGCACCACCAGAGGTGACTACACTGTTGCTAGAGATCAATCATGGGAATGAGAATGTATTCCTCTTAGGCGAAAGCCCCAGTAGTGCAGACAATACTAGCCGTAGACGATGGCATGTGCGTTAGTGCCCAGTCCATCTACTTCATGAACAAACTGTAGCATATACCGGGAATGGAGCTATGATGGAGGGAGCAGAAAGGTGTTGCAGCACTAGTAGAGGTGCCACATAACCCGCATGCCTTTGGACTGGGCTATGTGCCCACCAAAGAGGATTGGATAAGAAAAGGGGAAGAAATGAGTGGCAGAGCCAAGGCCAAGAGAGTTGAGAAGCACTATGAGCTTGTCCACAGGCCAACGTTGAGTGGGGGGTTTTTTAAAGAGGGGGAGGATTTCCCATTTTGTGGCTTTCCTGAGCCTTGGGTAAATTCCTTGAAAAAGCACTTCCTCGGGTTCGAGATTTTCATTGACCATCAGTTGTAAGACTGTAATGAAGAAAAGGTTAAACCAAGCATCAACATTGGTGAGGGAAAAGAAGATGACTTGAACAATAGCGAGGTTGACATAGGGGCAACACTGGCTGATCTTTAGAAAGATCCCACGACCAACACAGAGAACTTGGGGGGATAACATTACTGTCTCTATGCTCGGAGAGGAACTGGGCATGGATCCCACCGGTGGTATTTTGGATGCATCGAGGGCACCATGTCTTACTTGGCAGGTGGAGAAAGGCTTTCTTTCCAGTTACGAATCTAGTGGTGAGCCAGAATCTGATTCCATTGAGTTTGTGGAGTCAAAATTAGATTCAAGTCAGTTTGGGGAGTTTGATTCTGGCATTTCCAGGGGTGGTAACCCGGATGCCAAGGTCCTGTCAAGGTCTTCTTTTTCTTTTAGTTTTGAGTCTGTTGTAACAGAAGAGCCGAAACGTTTGAATGAGAATACTGCAAATTTTGTGTACTTTTCTGCGCCACTGATTTATTGTATTAACCAAGATTTTCATAATTTCAATGAAAACAAAGAGGAAGAAATTCCTCTTGCTTTGAAAAGCTTGATTCATCGAGAGGAGGAGAGGCATGCTAAGTCTTGTATTGATGAAAGAATTGCCATTAAATTGGGCATTGAGAAGGATCCACGCTTGGTCCAGATCAGGTCCACGTTGTCTTCGGATGAGCGCTTGCGTTTAATCACTTTATTGAAAGATTTCAAAGTTGTTTTCGCGTGGTCCTATGAAGACATGCCTGGAATCGATTCTGAGATTGTATAGCACCGGATGCCTCTTGACCTTGAGGCCTGACCAGTCAAACAAAAACTGGAGAGAGTTCGTCCGGATTGGGCACTGAAAATCAAGGAAGAGGTCACCAAGAAGATTGATGTAGGATTTTTATTAGTGTTCAGGTATCCAACCTGGTTGGCCAATATTGTCGAAGTTCTGAAGAAGAATGGCAAAATTAGGGTTTGTGTTGACTTTCGGGACCTGAACAGAGCTAGTTCGAAGGTTGACTTTCCACTACCGCACATAGATGAGTTGGTAGACTTCACTGTTGGCCATGCCTTGCTTTCGTTTATGGATGGATTTTCTGGATACAATCAGATTCTAATAGCACCAGAAGATAGAGAAAAGACTGCTTTCACCACATCATGGGGTACCTAATGCTACCAAGTCATGCCTTTTGGGCTGAAGAATGTTGTTGGTACATATCAGAGGGCTGCAACCACCATTTTGCATGACATGATCCACAAAGTGGTTAAAATGTATGTGGACGACATGATTGTCAAGTCCAAAGAGTGAGGAGGCCACTACACTATACTGAGAAAATTCTTCCAACAGATCAGGGAATACAGATTGAGGTTAAACCCATAAAAATGCACCTTTGGGGTTACGGCAAGGAAAATGCTGGGATTTCTAATCACACAAAGGGGAATTGAAGAAGATCCTTCCAAAATCGAGGCCATCTTAGAAATGCCACCACGAAAGACTAAAAAGGAGGTATGTGGCTTTCTGGAAAAATGCAATTGATAAGACAGTTTATTTGCAAATTGACCATGACTTGTGAACCACTGTTTGGTCTCTTGAAGAAAGGGAAGAAGTTCCGATGGGATGATCAATGTCAGTTTGCCTTCGATCTGGTCAAGCAGTACCTCTAAAATCAGCCTGTGTTATTACCGCCAGAGCTGGGGAAGCCTTTGCTTCTGTATTTGTCGATAACGGAGTTAACCATGGGGTGCATGCTAGCTCAAGAATCTGAAGATAAGGTGGAGAAGGCTTCTACTATTTGAACAGGAAGAAGCTAGACTATGAGACCCGTTACACTCCCCTAGAGAAAGCTTCCCTGATATGGGCTACTAGGAAATTGAGGCACTACCTGTTAGCTCACTCTATAATTCTAGTTTCGATATTAGATCCCTTCAAATATCTCTTTGAGAAGTCAGTGCTTATGGGTAGGGTCGTTCGTTGGTGGCTTCTCCTTTCTGAATTTCATCTTCAGTATGTCACACGCAAATCAGTTAAAAGGAGGGCTATAGTGGAATTCTTGGTGGACCACCCAGTAGAAGGAAATGAAGTAGTGGAATACCTGTTCATAGATGAAGACATTCTGCAAGTGGAAGAGAAAACATGGACGATGTATTTTGATAGAGCGTCTAATCAGTACATTTATGGAATATGTGTGCTACTGATATCACCTGATGATTCCCATATACCCTTAGCCTTCAAACTCTGGTTCAAAGTATCCAACAACGAAGCAAAATATGAAGCGTGTATTGATGGTTTGGAAGCTACCCTAGAACTAGGGGCAACAAGGTTGGATGTCATTGGAGGCTTGAACTTAGTTATTTCTCAAGCGAACGGAGATTGGAAAGTCAAAGAGGAGAAAATGAAGGTTTACCATCAGACCCTAGATATTCTGATTCTGAGGTTTGAAAAATTGGCATTCATACATCTGCTGGGAACAACTAGTTCGCTAATACGCTGGCAAGTCTATCTTCCATGGTAGACATCCCGCTTGGAGTCAAGATGCGTCTGATTATTATCGAATAGAAATACACACCAACTTATGAAACCATCTCCGCAATAGAGGAGGTTCAAGACAAAAACTCCTAGTATTACGACATTTGCAATTTTCTGGAAAATGATATGTATCCACCAGGGGCAAATGCCAAAGATAAATGGGAAATACGGCATTTGGCTGTCCAATTTATCATTTGTGGGGCTAATCTGTATAAAAGAGGTCGTCTGGGAATGCATATGTTGTGTGTGGAAGAAGAAGAATCGAAGTGTCTCATGGAGGCCATCCACGGAGGAGAGTGCAGACCACACATGAATGGTATGATGCTAGCCCGGAAGATCGACAAACATGACTATTATTGGTCAACTATGGAGGAGGATTGCATTAGTTTGGTGCGGCGATGTCATAAATGTTCGATCCATGCCAATCGCATGAACATACCGCTATCTATGCTTTACAATATGACTTCACCATGGACTTTGCCAGTATGGGGAATCGACGTTATTAGTGCAGTCTCGCCAAACGGGTCAAATGGACACGAGTTTATCTTGGTGGCAATTGACGATTTTACAAAGTGGGTGGAAGGTCAGTCCTATGCGGTGTTAAAAGCATCGCATGCAGCCAAGTTTATCAAAAACAATATCATCTGCCAGAAAGGGCTTCTGAACAAGGTCATATCAGATAACAGCTCGCACTTCAAGAATGATGTGGTAGATCTACACGAGAAATATAACGTGGCTTTTCACAAGTCATTAACATATAGACCACAGAGCAACGAAGCTGTTCAGGCCGCTAATAAGAATGTTAAGAACATCCTGTGAAAGATGGTTGAGACCTACATAGACTAGTCAGATAAACTGCCCTTCACATTCTAGGGCTACAGAACATCAATTCGGACATCTATAGGGGTAACCCCCTATTCTCTGGTGTATGGGATGAAAGTTGTTTTGCCAATTGAGATTGAAGTATTGTCGCTACAAATTATGGTCGAGTGTTAGATAGCGAAGGCGGACTGGCAACAAAGCAGATTCGAGGAATTGATATTGTTCGATGAAAGGAGGTTGAAGGCATTATATCACATCCAGGGCAACCAACGCAGAATTGCTAGGGCTGTTAAAAAAAAAAGAGTTAAGTTTAGGAATCTCAAGGAAAGGGATATGGTGCTCAAAGACAACTGAGCTCCCATCCATGACCCTAGGGGCAAGTTCCGACCCAATTGGACTAGTCCTTACATCGTCAAATCTATCTAGTCAGAAGGGGCGGTTATTCTCATAGACCTAGATGGCCTGGAGTTCTTACAGCCGATCTATATGGACAAGTTAAAGAAATACTATCCTTGAGGAGCTCGCTAGGCCGAAAACCCGGAAGGGCAATCTAGGCAAAAGTTAGAGCATGAAAAATTAGAAATAAAGAAAAACTGCGCTCGCAAGGTTGGAAACCCAAAAGGGTAGCTTTCGCTAAAGTTAAAGCACAAAAGAAGAGAGTTAATACTTGAGTGAACCTGAATCGAACTACGTCAGGCTTGATTTCCATCTTTGGGATACGTAGGCAACTTCATCTTGAAGTTCGGTCATAACCATCTCCAATTCAACTGTCCTATCCATTTGTTTGATCAGGCCATCTTTGTCCATCATTTGTGCATGGTTGTGTGATCCTCATTTTGGCAGAAGGGTCAATATGGTGAATGCAGTTATGGGCAGTTATGATCTGTTGATTTAGGGTTGTGCATCTTCAGGACTGATTCCGTGCGTGTCTCAGGCAATGATCATTTCTGAAAACAATTTTGGAAAGTTTTAATAAAAGTTGAT